TATATATATATGTATTACATGACAAAGATTGGAATCTTCCTACTCAAGAAAGCATGATATAATTACAATAATGCTATGACACGTATATACCTGCATACCATACGTCCATAATCCATACCCCATACAGCGGCCTAACCCCTAGGCTGTTTGTCCGGGCGCACACGAATTGCGTACCGAAACAGGTAAACGATAAACGAACCTTTTTATGTTACTTTTTCATCCATGTCATCCACGGTTAATATTATTATAACTATAAAGTGTTTCCTAAAGTTATATGCCATAATAAAAATGTCAGGTTATATAAAAAAAAATTAACTGTAAAAACATAATATCATAAATAGTATAAATCATAATCATATATTAATTAAATTTTTTCTGTGCACCTAAACTAATTGAAAAAAGCAAAAGCAAAATTAAATTAGTTTATTTGGAATGAGAATGACTTTAAACGAATTTATGTATAAAAATTAAATTTTTATATTATATATATAAAAAAAAAGCATTTACTTTAAAATGCTAGCCCTAGTAATAACTTAAGGTATAATAACCAGAGTATTATATTACTAATACTTAATAGGCAGGTGAGGGAGGTATCCTACGTAGGCGGTGGACAAACCGGTGCACACGAATTATTTATCAAGTCAGGTAAACAAACCTTTAGAAACAAATTGCGTCCCGGACGATGAGACAATAAAAATATTATTTAAATAAAATAAAATAAATCAATAAAATAATTTAATCACAATTGAAAATTGTATTAACACATAAGTCAATAAATAAATATAAATGGAATTTGTATATTATGTATACTATAGCAGGGACGGCGCGAGGGGGGAGGGCAATCGGGGCAGTTGCCCCGGGCCCCGCGATTTTAAAATTATAATCAAGGGCCCGCAGTTCTTAAATTATATTTTATACTGTTCAGAGATTAGTTAGTTTGGATAAAATGTAATTATTGCCCGGGGCCCCGCAAATCCTAGCGCCGCCCCTGGTGCTATAGTAATAAATAAAATGAATTTAATTAATAAGAAAATCCGGAATACAAAATATTCGCGTTTCTGGACTTGTTGCAACATAATAATAATCATAATATTATATTATAGGTCATACGTACCTATTGTCATAGTCATAATAATGATAAGTAGTATAATCCTGTATAATGTAGGTATACAATCATGATAAACGGATAAAATTCAATAATCAAATTGTAATAATTAATTATAGTATAAAAATACTATGTATGTATAATATTATTTAAAATATGTATCTATAAATAAATGTAAATATATTATGTATAATATATTTTTTTGAGCTTTTTTTCCGTGGCCATTTTTCCGCGATTCAATTTAGGTATACGTATAACGTATACTACCGATCACCTTGATGCGTTTGATTTAAATGTTGTACTATGATTATTTGAATAATTAATGAAATTTATTCATCCAACAATCTGCCATCTGACATAAGTTTATAATATTTACATGTAGTCAAAAAATATTTGTATAGATCAATACGTGACATTACTATGGAGTCTGCACTCTAATGTAATAAAGTTTTTGTAATATACTCAATTACATCGACGGAGTCAAATACGGTACCTATACATATTTATTTATTCAATCTACAGATGAATGACAAATAATAACATAATTATAATTTACAAACAATGTACAATCATTTAATGTAGAAATTAACACATGTAAGCTAATAACCTATGTAGTTGATGCTTAACCAATAAAAAAAAAAAA